GCCCACTACCCAGCTGACTCCTACTTGCCAAAGCTGAGTTTTTAAGACTGGATGGATGGGGGATGCCAGTAATTCAGCCTCCCAAAGTTCCCAGACAGGCTCTCTTAGTCCACACATTGAAGTACAGAACTGATTGGACTACAGATTCATGAGAAACTCAGCTTTAGTATTTCCTGACTGGCAATCTCTTTAAACATTCAAACAGTCTCAACTTATTTCTCAGAACCCAAATTGCTCAAAAACATTATCAGCAGGTTATTGCAAAAGTTCAATTTTTTCCTTTAGGAAACTTCTGAGTTCTAAAAATATACTATTCCAAATATGACTACTAAATTAATGCCATCTCAAAAAAGCAAAACAGTAAATCTAGAGCTGCAGTTTTCCAGGCCAGATGGAACTCTAACTCTCTCTAAGCAATAAAGCATTATAATAAATACATCAGCCATACAAAATGAGAGATTTGAAGTACCTGTTTATTTCTAATGCAATATTTTAAAATATTACTTAAAGAAAAACATGAAACATGACTTAATCTATTAGAATTTTTACTTATAAATCAACATCTAAATTAGGTTCCTACTGGAGTTAGCTTTGTTGCTTTATTAATTTATTTATCGATTTCAGTTTTATAAAACAATTTTAAGCTATCCTAAAAAATAATATTAGTTGGGTGGGGCATCATATTTACTATGGAACAGCAGTATGTAACAAATGCTAACAGTTTTTCAGAGGTATGGTAGACAGTGGGTGAATGTGTGCAACTTACCTGTCAAAGACTGGCAGAGAGATACAATGTGTCATTTAACAATGTTTTGTAACACTTGACGTACAAAGTAAACATTTATTCTGTAATAGGAAAATTTCTATAATAATTTGAGAAGATTATCAACAAATAACATCTGTAGAATGCTTTTATAAACTGAAAATGAAATCAACTGACCATCCAATGTATCACTCAAATTCTAACTCATAATTGACTCTAAATACCAGGAAAAGACAGAGACTACACTTTAATGCTTATTCCCAAGAAAGTCTAATGATTAACTGACAAGATGACATTTAATTGTTTTATGGTAATTTGTGTACTTTGCATGCATCCCTAAAGAAGTAATTCAGAGTAAAGTCAGTTTTTCATGCTGTACTGAGTTGAACTGTCTCTCTCAAAGTTCAGATTTACCTAAATCCCAATAATGTGACCTTATTTGAAAATGGAGGTTTTTTTCAAATGTAATTAAGATGAAGATTAGGGTCAGCTCTAAACCCAGCTGCTAGTACCCTATAAGAAGGCCATGTGAAGACAGATATAAACACGGAGAATGACATGTGAGGAGCAAAAGTAGAGACTGGAGGGATGTGTCTACAAGCCAAGGTACAGGGGGATGTAGGTAACCAATCAGAGGTTGGAGATGGCTGCCTTAAAGCATTTTGATTTGGCAGACCCAGTCAACCATTACCCAAGCCAAATTGTATCTTACTAAAATTGATCTATATATTTCATACATAGACCATATCAACACTGGTGCCTTAAAAATTTAAATATAAAAAAGTTGAGCCAAGCAGTTCTCCCCTGCACCTCTGTATTTCTCCCTACAAAATGTGGAGCACTGTGTGTGTGTGTGTGTATGTGTGTGTGTGTGTGTGTGTATTAATTTCTAACTGCAGATTAAACTAGGATACAAATCAGAACATATCTTCCTCTGTGGAACCAGTGAATGTCTCTTTTTGTAAATTGGCACATAATTGTACATATTTATGTGTAATGTCTTAATATGTGAATACACTGGGTAATAATCAAAAGTATTTAGCATATCTGTCACATCATACATTTATCATATCTTTGTGGTGACAATACTCAAAATCATCCTCTTTTGTAGCTACTGAAATATTCAATATTGTTAACCATAGCCATCGTGTACCCTTCCCAGTAATTCTGTACCACTGGCCAACCTGTTCTCACCTGCTCCCTCCCCCCACAGCTTCCCCAGCCTCTCATAATGACTATTCTTTCTACTCTCTGTTTCTGTGAGATCAGCTTTAGATCCCACACATGGGTGACATCATGTAGCAGCTGTTTTTCTGTGCCTGCCTTATTTCACTAAAAATGTTCTCCAGGTTCATTCATGTTACTACAAATGATAGAAACGCCAACACTGTAGTAATTTTGTTGCCTCCAAATTCTAATAATGTCCTTTTGAATTCGAGCTTGTTATTATATAAAGATATGATCAGAAAAAAAAATCCCTTAGCTGTTCTTAAGTTATCCCTAGGAACTTAACCCAGTTTCTTTTTGTTATCTCAAAACTTCAGGATTCATACTTAGCTTTTTAGAGTGTTACTGAATTAATAGGAATTACATAAAATGGCTCAATGGGACTCAGCAACCTGAATCAATACATGGTGCACCCAATTATGTCGCTGGAAGTCATTACTTGGAATCCTTATAAAGGAATCTATTTTGATCCTGTAATACAAAATGATCCACACCAAGCATGGGATGTGGAGTAGTGGATGGAAGAAAAATGGATAGGCAAAATTTTAAAAGTTTCTTTCCAAGAGTTCATTTATCCTTAGTTTCTCTTGTTATGTTTTTAAATTTTTATTGATTTATTTATTGATCTATTTATCTTTCTATCCATCTATCCATATTTATCCCATCCATCCATCCATCCATCCATCCATCCATCCATCCATCTTTGTGTCTCTGGGAGTGTATGTGCATGTGCATGCACTATGGAGTGAATGTGGAGGTCAGAGGGAAACTCTGTGGAGTAGGTTCTCTCTCCTTCCACCATGTGGGCTCCAGGGATTTATTGAACTTAGGTTGTCAGGCTTGGCAGCATCCCCTTTACTCGAAGAGTCATCTCACTGGTCCCTTTCTTTTTCTTAAGATAGTCTCACTATGTAGCCCAGGCTGGCCTCTTAACTTGTGATCCTCTTGTCTCAAGCTCTTGAGTGCTTAGGTTATAGGATTTTTTTTTTCCAGTGGTGGGGATCAAACCGAGGGCCTTGCACATGTTAAGCAAGTGGTCTACCACTGAGTTATATACCCAGCTCATTCTCATTTCTAAATTACTATTTTCTAGCTCCCTTACATCCAAGGTCAGAGGTTCAAGGACAATTTGCAAGAGTTGGCTCTCTCCTTCCTCCATGTACGTTGCAGGGATTAAATTCAGGTCAGCAGGCTACCCGCCAAGCCATTTTAATGACTCCACCCTCATATTTTAAAGATTTTATTTTTAATCACATGTATACGTGTGGGTTTGTGTGTGGGTATATATACATGAGTACAGGTGTCCGTAGAGGCCAGAAGAGAGTGTCAGATGTCCTGGAGCTAGAGTCACCGGCAGTTGTGAGCAGCTCAACATGGGTGTTTTTAACTGCTGGTCACCTTTGCAGTCCCAACAGTCATATTTTAGAACTGCTTGTTACAGCAGTTAGTGAGCTCTGATTAATATATGCCTTATATAAAAAGCTAAACTAGAGGTGAGTGAGATGGCTCAGTCTGTAAAGTGCTTGCTGTGTAAGCACTGAAGACCAGAGTTCAGATTCCCATAATCCACATAAAAAGCTTGGCTCAACAATATGCATCTGTAATTCCAGTGCTGGAGGATTCCTGACCAGCCAGCCTAGCCAAATCAATGAGCTCCAGGTTCAGTATGAGACCCTGTCTCAAAAAGTAAGGTGGACAATGACTGAAAAAACACCCGTCAATCACCTGTCAATCTCTGGCCTCCATGTGCATGCATACGCACATGTACAAGCACCTACATGCACATGTGCACACAGTCATATAAACATGTACATAAAACACACACAGGCACGTGTGAAACTAAGGGAATCTGATAATTAATTTAAATTGACCAAATATATGAAGACAGACAATTGTTCAATATCTATAACACAATGTGATGTTGAAACAGCATAACATTGCTAGCTTAGCTTTTCCCAAAGTGGTCCTTCAGGACATCACGGTTCTGCCAACATAATTATGACCTTGTACATCTCATACTTATTTGGTCAATAAATAACCAATCAATTAAAGATCTACTTCTCTATCCCACCACAGCAATACCCATAACACTACCTAACAGAATAATGTTCTATAAAATATTGTGGGAACTTGTGCCTTAGTATAATCAACATCATATGGTATGGCTTACTCAAGAGTATCAAACATTTCTAGGTACCCCCAAAGCAAGTATTGTGCACTTATTAAGGAAAGTGTTTCCTTTAAAATTATTGACATGTATGATTATTATCAGAACTACCCAAGAAGGTTTTCATTATAGAAACATTATTTATAATTGTTGTTTGTTTTTTGAGACGGGGTCTCACTGTATAGCTTGACTATTCTGGAACTTTCTATGTTGGCTAGACTGTCCTCTGCCTCCTGAGTGCTGAGATTAAAGGTATGTAATGACCATATCCAGCTTGGCTTCTGTCTTTTCTTTGGGCTCCAATCTACTGTCAATGAAGTCTGTCAAATTTAATGATGGAATATACTCTTATGTTTGAAGGAGAAGACAGTTAATGAATCCCAGTGACATTAAATATGAATGTGTACATGTGAACGTGGTTCACTGTACCATATCATTTTTTTATCATTCCTACATGCAAGTTTGATGAACAAAGTTTTAAAATATTTTAAGGCAACACAAAGAAATCATAAGATTAATGGTTTAATGGTTTATCATAATAAAAATAAAGATACTTCAGTAAATTAGGGTTGTGCTATACTCTTAAACAATCTCACACATCAATTGCATGCATATATTATTTATAAACACAAGTATTATAATTTTCCTCACTGTGGCGTGCTAGGCTAGACTGCATTTATACTACACATATTTTTTAGTATACTTGTGATTCTGTGATATCCCACATTTTTCACAGACCTAAGGAAACTGAAAAAGGGCTGTTATGGTGATTTCTGTAAAGGAAAAGGGTCTGCTAGATACTGAACATTCTAAAAACGGGAATAATAAAAAGATGAGACTTACATCTAGCAGTGTGTGAAGATGCTGATCCTGGAAAACACTGTGTAGAAAATCTAAGTCTTTTTCACTGCAGTCTGTAAGTGCATGAATCTCTTCCAGGCTGTCCAGCACCTGAGAGACGGCTCCTGAGAGGACAAACAGAAAAGAAACTGCTAGTATGCAGTCAGTGTCACACTAACCTTTGCAATCTTAAACTTGCACTTAAGAACAATGAACACCGCAACTAGGAAGGCTTGTGTCTTTATAAAGGAGAGGATTAAATGTGCTTCATTATCATTTAAAAGCAGAATATTTTCAGTGAATTTGTTTTCAACAATGTATTTGTACTATTGTTTTCAAACTGAACTGAGCTCATCTTTTTTGAATTAAAGCACTTCATCAACTCTGAGCTACTATGATAGAAGATCTGGGTGCAGCAAGTCATACATCAGCTAGACAGTGAGGCACTTTGAAATATTATAAAACACAGGTGGGCCTTTTACATGAGGGCATTCTATCAAGAACTGACAACATAGCTGACTACAGATGAGAATCATAAACCTTGAACTGAGAGCTCTTGCTGCTTAAAAATAAGCTTTGTAAAGTTTTCTTTTTCTAGGTTTGGTTAGCAAAGATCACAGTCTATTCCTTTTTTAAATCTTACAAAGTCAATAGATCCAAAGTCACTTTCATTGTCTTGGGTCCTTATCCAAAGGGTGGGTAGGCTAATGAACACATCTGAATTCCATATTAAATTTTAAGGAAACTTATTTATGTAGGACAAAGCAAATACAAGTGCTGTCAATTTGTTTCCTCACACCTGGTACACTGGGGAGGGATTACTAGTGAAAGATACATGAGCAGTACAAGAGTCATTACACAGACTTAAAGAACTGATCAGCCTATTTTAGTCTACAGACAATATGCAAATACATACTCCATAAAAAAGAATCCCAAGAGGCTTCAGCACATTTGTATAGACCAGAGAAAGCCTAAGAATAAGTGCTTTGATGCACAGTTGAGTCTTCAGATCAGTGGTCCTCAACCAGGGGGTGGGATTTTGCTCCTCAAGGGGACATTTCTTAGAGTCTGGAGTTATTTTTGGTTGTCACAACTGCAGGGGGAAGGTGGCTACAGTCACCTAGTGGGTAGAGGCTAGGGATGGTACTGAATATCCTCCAGTGTCTAGGACAACACCCCTACAACAGAGCTATCTGATGCCCAAATCATTGCTGAGACTGAGAAATGCTGTTTTAGACAAACACAAAATATTATTTAGGAAGTGTTTCTAATTCTTCTTGCCTTAGATCTCATCCACTATCATGCATTTATTGGTGAGAATACAAATCAGTGTTATTTTCTTGGAAAATAACCTGGTAACATATATCGAAGAGCCTTAAAAATGTTCATATGGGGCTGGAGAGATGGGTCAGAGGTTAAGAGCACTGGCTGCTCTTGCAGAGGACCTGAGTTTGGTTCCCAGCACCTACATGGTAGCTCACCATCATCTGTAACTCCAGTTCCAGGGGATCTCATACTCCCTTCTGGCCTCTGTAAGCACTGTCACATGTGATGCACTTACATATATGCAGGCAAAACACTCACCATACACATAAAATAAATAAATAGATAATAAAATTTTAAAAAGGAACTGGAGAGGTGGCTCAGCAGTTAAGAGCACTAGGTACTTTGGCAGAGGACCAGGGTTCAGTTCCCAGCACCTACGTGACAGCTCACAACTGTGTGTGGCTCCAGTTCCAAGGGATCCAATACTCTCTTCTGGCCTCCACAGGCATTACACACCCAGGTGCACTTATATACAGGCAAAACACTTATAGACATAAAATTTAAAAAATTGTAAAGAAAAATTTTAAAAAAGTTCATGTGTTTCAATTTGGTAATTTCATTTTCAAAAAATTGCCTTAGCTAGAAAGACAGGAGGTTTCTGCACAAGGATATTTATCATATAAATGGAAAGAAAATCTAATAGACAATGATTACATAAATTATAGGATATCCACATAATGGAATATATAGCTGAATTAAAATTGTTTTTGAAGAATTTTCAAGATATAGGAAAATTCTCATTATATAAAAGAAGGGTTCTACTTAAGAGTTCATTCTGTTACTATGGCTATTTAAAAAATCCTGACTTTATTTTGGGACAGTTGAGATGCAATGTACTTGTAAAAAAATTACAAAGATCTAAATTTATCTATTTTTCTCCAATAATAACATATGAAATTATAGCACCACATCACCAATACAATAACTGCAGAACAGCTTCATCACCATAAGGCTCCCTCATGTTGTTGTCCTTTTATACCCATATTCTCTTAACTCCATTCTGCTCCTTCCTAATCCCTGGTAATGACTAATCTGTTCTCCACTTTTATAATGTTGTCATTTTAAGGATGTCATATAAACAAAATCATATAGTACATATAGTACATATGTTCTCCACTTTTATAATGTCATTTTAAGGATATCATATAAACAAAATCATATAGTACATATAGTACATATGTTCTCTACTTTTATAATGTCATTTTAAGGATGTCATATAAACAAAATCATATAGTACATAATCTTTGGGGATTGGCTTTAAAAAAATCTAGCATCAGACCAAAAAAATTAAAAAAATTAAAGGGCCAGGCATGGTGGCAACACAACCTTAATCCCAGCACTTGGGAGGCAGAGGCTGGCAGATCTCTCAGAGTTCAAGGCCAGGCTGGTCTACATAGTGACTTTCAGGCCAGTTGGGGCTACAGGAGATGCTGTCCCAAAAAGACCCCCCGCCCCCAAATCTAGCACAATTCTCTGGAGATTCATCCAGGTTCTTTGTATATTAGCAGTTTGTAACTCTTTATTACTGGGTAGTATAGTCCATGGTAAGGATGTGTCAGTTTGGCCATTCACTTGTACTACGGGTAATTTTAAATTTGGAATAATTAACAACTGTCGGGCTAATGGTATTCTTTCACTGGAAACATTAAGTGGATATCAAGTGTGATAAAAGATGCAAGGTAGAGATCAGTCCTCCTCTCTCCTGCTATTCCTAAAGCTGTAGTAATACAATCTATTGCCTTTACCAGCTTTTCTTAGGATTTTACTTTGCTCAAAGTGGCAAAATATGTAAATTAACTTAAAGGCAACTTTATTCATCCCTTATTGAAAGATTTGGAAAGTAGGAGAACATGTAAAGAAATTAGTCCCAAATATCCTTGTGAACCCCTGACTCCCCTAAGCACAACACTGATAGCAGAATAAAGTGATATCAAGTTGTTAAAATCCATTCAAAACTCCTGGACTTATAAAACTACAACAATAAAAAAACCAAGGAAGCAGGATTTTTTGTATACCTAAAAAAGTCAGTAGACAACACAAATCTAGTTGTAATTTCCATTCAATTATCTTAGTAATACCGTACCTATAATGCTTTTTATTGCCTCTACCCAGCATCTCTATAGCAGTCTACCAGTAATGTAAAATTAAAAGTCACGTGTTAAGTGACTAGTAAGAGAGCCAGGCTGATGGCTGGGAAGCAATTTTGCCTGTACCTGACCAACGGTGTATGGTTGATTGGTCTGTGAATTCCCCAAGTACTCTAGAGCCATTCTTGTCTTGCTAGCACATTCCATGTTACTTATCTGGGCACCTGTTTACTCTTCTTTCTGAGTTATTTACATTACTCATTTTATGACATCTACAAAGTATGCACTGAATTCAGTCCTTAAGAATGCTGGGGCTGGAAAGGCGGCTCAGCAGTTAAGAGTACTGGCTGCTCTTGCAGAGAAACCAAGTTTGATTCCCAGCATCCACATGGCAGCTAACAACCATCTGTAACTCCAGTTCCAGGGGATCTGACCCGTTCTTCAGGCATTGCTTGGCATGGGTGCACTTACATACATGCAGGTAATATACTCATACACATAAAATAAAAAGAATACATTTACAAAAAAGAATACATAGTAGCTGCAGCTCCCAATTCTTGAGCTTCTTTTATTTGCAAGGCACATCCTCAGGCCAAAGCAGACATTTTAGTCTACCTCTCTAGATAGAAAAGAACTAGGTTTGGAGGGGTCCAAGAAGGGTTCAGTTAGGTAGTGGTAGAGTGAGTATTCAGCTCTGGGCTTGTCTAGCTTCAAAGTCTATGTTCTATCTGACTCACTACGCTAATTGGTTGTATGAGGAAGCACAAAGGAACTTTTACCAATTATGGTTTATGCATAGATATGAACGTTGGAAAAGAACTTTACCCTATTGGGTCAGGCCATAACCAAATTCCTTACTGAATGTCCCTCCTTTTTTGCCAGGTACTAGGTAGGCACTTCAGAGAAAACAGAAATATGATCTCTGACCTCAGATGGGGCTCTCAAGTAATGCATGAAGGAGGCATACTATATACCTGAAGTGAATAATCCTGGGGCAGCTTTGGGGAGGAGGTAGATGAGCAGGAACCTACTATCTTAACTAAGGGATGAATCTGTTGATGGGCCCTCTGGATAGGTGTCTTTCTGAAAAGATCCAAGGTATCTGTTAACCTGCATTTCCAGTCTCCAAAGGTCTACGAAACCTCCTTGATTTGCCACCTCTTCTGAAGTGACTTACAGTCATAGTTTGTAACTAACTATGGGGTAATTTCCTGGGTTCTCACTCATGAAAGGAAGCATTTTCTTAGTTACACTCAACTTGTCCATTTCCAGCTCTGAAAAATGCCCCTAATTTAGTTTTTGTAATTAGGTAGGAAAATTGTTTTCATTTCATTTCTCCTTCATTTTTCAAATTGAATAAATATGTTTTTGGTTGAAACTTAAAATCTTTCTTAATCTTTGACTATTAGTATTTATTTATTTATTTGCAGAGCTGGGGGCGGAAATTATAGCCTCACTCATGTCAGGCAGACACTCCTCCACTGAACTACACTCCAGCCTAACCCTTGACCATTAAAAAAATATTTTTATTTATTATTTTATGTGTATCAGTGTATTGCCTGCATATGTGTAGGTGCACCCGTGTCGTGCAATGCCCATGGAGGCAAGAAGAAGGCTTCAGATCCCCTGGAACTGGAGTTACGGATGGCTGTTGGCTGCCATGTGGGTGCTGGGAATTGAACCTGGGTCCTCTGCAAGAGCAGCCAGTGCTC